CTTTGACTTCATTTTTTCCATTTGCAGATATGTTCACTGGCCTCTGTTTGAGACTTACTCACTCTGAATGTGTCTGAGTCCCTGCCCTTGCTGTTTCCTCCACCTGCATACTCTTATCATCACTTAATTCTCACATAGATGGCACCTTCTTGTCACCCAGATCTTGGCTTATGTGTCACTGCTCAAGCGAGGCCTTCCCTGACCCTCATCAAATGGAGCCCCAAGTCACTGATGTCATTTCACATATTTCCATGTTCCACAAAGAACTTACCTAATACCTGATATTCTCTTGACAAGTTACCTTTATTTATGAACCCCATCCTCAAATGTAAACTCCATGAGGACAGGAACTTCACCTATTTCCTTCATAATTATATTTCCAGAGCCTAAAACAGTCACTGGCACACTAAAAAAATACACATTGAATGAATGAATCAATGCTTCAACAAGTAAAACTGTGCCTACAAGATAGATGTGCAGTGGATATTTCTAAAAATAATAGTGAATTTAAAAAGTGATTATTCCAAACCTTTTTTAACACAGAAAGAGATATTTCTTGCTGCTATTTTCTTTTTCCTCTTTGAAAAGCAATTTTTCTTCTGTCCCGCATATTCTTTGTGCAGACAGCTGGCAATTATGACTGGTTTCTAGAAGAGATGACAGCATGATTTTCCTCTTAAATTTCAGAGACTTTATGTCTCTGCTGGAAACTCTCATGCTCTATGCTATAAACCAAACCATATCCTGAGTTTAGAGTAATTCATGTTGATTGTTACAATTGTAATACGCATTCACTAATGTAGACAGTATTTCTTGCTTCTAAATAGACTGAGAAAACAGCATAGTTTCATGAAAGCCAGCTCATTGTCTTGCCAGAACAGAAGTGGCTAAGGTCATGGAAACATCGCAACATCTAAGTCAAATAAAAGAATAGCCTTTAAAATCTTAATCTCTACTTAGCATTTTATAATAAATCTGACTTAAATTCTTTAACTCACGAGGTTTTGTTCGGTTTTAAAGTTATAGCTCTAATTATCAAAACCCATTTTTCTCAAAAGAAGAATAAAACCACCACTATGTTATGTGTTCTTTTAACTTCCAGGCCGCTTCAAGAAGTGCCTGCATATTTAAGGATTACAGAAATGTACCCAACTCCAAACTTTCAAAACAAAAACCAGTATATCAAATTCTATTTTTGACAGTTCTTGGATGTTTCCATTAACATCCATTCGGTCACTTGCTTTTCTACCTGATCTAAGTTTGAAGTGGTCAGGGCAGTTGCTGCTCTTATTCTTTCTGCTTGAACTTCTTCATCTTCGTCTGTAGGTTCTTCTGGATTTGGTCGAGCCCCTCTACTTTGGGGAGAGATTCTGTGGAGAAAATAAAATATGTTACATGTGGTTTTCTAACTGTCAAAGTTCTATCAAAAATCGGTGTTCCTGGGATTTTATTAATACCTCTGTCGCTTCTTTCAGTGGACAGGTAAGGGTGATAACGATGATGATGACTCTGTCACTGTTGCTTTTGCTTTTGCCAAGGATTCCCTTCCCATTAACCAGAATCCCTTTCTTGGTGCTGTTGCCATCCTTCCAGTAAGCATCCACGGCCCTTTCGAATCTGTCGGTAAGTACTGCTCTTTGCTCTTTAAAATTCAGGTCACTTATTTTCTCTGCTCACTCTGAGCCCATCTTAATTGCACCAGATATTTTTTACTGCTCATCCTTTCCAGGGTTCCTCCACTTTTGAAACATTCTAAACTACGTTCCTAAATTAGTTCCATCCCATCTCTACTGTCCAAGGATGTTCAACAATCTTGGGTGAAAGAACGGCATATTTGGGTACCCATAAAGTCTCCCTCAGCTGCTTAGTGGCAGAACTCTGCCTGGGAGGCCTACTTCGTGGCAGCAAAGCCAGCAATCCTCTGATTGTAACGACGATCATCATGCCGCCTCCCTTGTAAATATAAATCTGTATTAAGAAATTGATAGTACAGCCACTATCCAGGAATATTAAAATATGTTATTAAGTATGAAATTAAATTTTATCCCAACCTGAAAACAGGATCCTTTTGCATTCTCTTCTTTCCATATTTTAGTTCCATGCATCTTAGAACAAAAATGAACAGCAAAGCCTGAAAGTAAGGCTAGGAGCAGAGAAAGCCAGTTATATTCAGGCATAAGTTCACATATACTATTTAAACAGTTGAATTAAATTGGTGGTGTTTTGTCTTCAGGCAAAATAGTTGTGAATCATTCTTACAAATTGGGGGAGAAATGTAGCTATGCATTCACAACCCAGCTTGGTGGAACGTGTTTCTTCTCTTCCTCTCACCACCCACAGTTTGTCAGTAAACTCTATCTACCCTATCTTCAAAATTATCTATTAATATAACCCAATTACTTCTCACCCCTGCTGTGCTACCCACCAAGGTCTAGGTTGTTATAATTTCTCACCTGGATTATAGCAACTCCTTCCTACCTGGGCTCCCTCTGCTCCTCTTGCTCTAATCATCTATTCTCAACAGAGCTACTCTTTTAATACACAAGTCTGATCATATCACATTGCTTAAAACCCTCCAAGGACTCCTCCTCCATCACTCAAAGTAGAGACAAAGTCCTTAGAGTGACCCAGAACACCCTGTGTAACTCCTTCTCCTGACCTCACACTTTATCCCTTTACTCCTATGACCATCTCTCC